TTGTATTAGAATTTTTTTAAAATGTTATTTAAATGTGGAAATGAGGCAATATCTAATTCTAATTCTAAATTTGTATACATTTCCAGAAGAGAAATCTGAACAATGGATAAAGGCAGGTTTGGAATTCTTGTTTCTCTCTCTCTCTTTGAATTACTTCATAAATCAACATCCAGAAAATAAATAAATAACATTTCAACTAATGTTTTAAGAATAAAATATTATTGATCAGGCAAATTATATTTGAACAAACTCTTCTATAAAAACCTTCGAATGTATATCCCATGCAAAAATGGACCATGGTAACCATAGTTTTAACATTGTTATTTTTGTGATTAGTGTTTTGCAGATTATAAAGCTATCAGCTTGTTTGTTTGTTTATTCCACAACATTAACAAAAACCTTAATACAGTCGCAAAATTATACATTTTCCCCCACATCAACCTTTTCTGCCAAAAAATAAATACATACATATATGCATACATACAAATAAGCTCTACAGAAGTCAATAGTGTCATTATTCAGCTCAATTTAGCTCAGTGTTGCAGTTCAGTTCAATAACTGTGTCAGTGTTGCAATGTTCATCAATTATGATAGTGGTTAGTGCCAAATTACCAGTATTATATATAGTATTTTATTACTATCAATTTACTCTTACCCTGGTAAATCTTTGGTTAGTTTTCAAAGTATGATTCTAATTTGAACATTCTGCTTTATGTCCTTAATGTAAATTTATGTTCTTTTTATCTCTTTCTCTTTTTCGTTTCTCTCACTCCTCCAGTTCTCACATCTCCTCCAGGGACAAGCGGCACGCTTCAGAAAGAGAATGAATTGGACAGTGAGATCCTGAAAGCTGACGACACAACAGTCACAGACTCTTCCCTCATAACAGACCCTCCCTCAAAAACAAAACCAATCAAATCAGACCCGAGACCCAGCACACCTGGATCCATCCCCAACCCACTGGCAAAAAAAGGTACAGTACACCACAATACACGCTTTCAGGTGTTGAATATCAGTTTTGTCTATATACATTTTTATTATATTGAAGAAGAAAACTCAGCCACCACCACCACAGCAGCTATCTATCTATCTATCTATCTATCTATCTATCTATCTATCTATCTATCTATCCATCCATCCATCCATCCATCCATCCGATATGTAATAAATAAATAAACATAATAAAACCCGGCATGGCTCTGTATCAAAGCATCAGCCGAATCTTGGGCTGTGTATGTGTTTGGGGAAGGTTTGCTGAGTGTTCTCGAACAGTCTCGAGTGTATAAGGCCTAGTCAAGTCCTTTTGATAGTGGGCACGGGGCAGACCGGTTGCCATGGCAACAGTTTGATTAGCTGAGAAAGCGTTGCATGTATAATGCATTACAAGGAGGACACGCTTAACGAGAAGAATGGATAGATGAAACACTGATGCATGTGTCTTAATTGAATGAACATCCTTTACATGTGACTGTATGATCAGAATAATACCTGACTCACAACATTTCTCTTCAATGCCGTGGGTTAAAGCACCTCTGCAGTTAAAGAGCTGGAGTCACACTTATCTTGATTGAATCAATACACTGCTGAGGCTGAGAAGAAAATGGAAAATGTCAGTTACAAGCCTCTAATTTGTCAGGGAAGAGAAATGAACGAGAGAAGTAGCTTGAGAGACAAATTACTCAGCATATGTCTTACCTACCGGGTCAGCCAGCTCTCATCAGATTAAAAGCACCATACTTTACACTTTTTGTAGCATTTTACAAATCTTTCCCCCCAAAAGTTTAGTTAGAATATCGTAATTTTTTTCCATTCTCTCTCTGTTCCTTAGAATTTTAGAGGCTGTTTTAGCTACTGTACCTTTAAGACTACTGCACAAAAATGATAAAGATACATATCAGCCAAGCCGGTTAATCTGCGAAAATATGCCAATTTATCAGTGAAATAAACATAAATACAAAA